AAAAAGATAAACTCTGTATAAGGTATGTTTTTTCCTACCAAAGCTGACGAGAGTGTTGTCCTTGTGTTCAGGCACAGCTTTTCCCAGAAGGCAGTATTTCACATAAACTCTAATCGAATTTACAGGTTGTGTGCTCACAAATAACAAATGGATATTTTGAGCAATGTTTTGCTGTTGACCTCCCAGAAGCTGCACAGCCTTGCCATTGTTCCGTCACACGTGGAGGTGTTAAGGTAAGGTCTGAAATAGAGCTCAGCTCTAACTGCACACACGCACAGGAAAACTATCCAAACAGGCTGCCCTGATTCCAGCAGTTGAGAAGCAGTACAAGGGTGGGAGCTGGTACAATGGATGTGGAAGGTACTGCATGTGCTACCTGGCCTACTTCTAGACCTGTTTTCTTATCTTTGGAGAGCACTGCACAGGAATATTTCAAAACAGAAAATAGAGATCCCTTGTTTGAAAAAGCAAGTTCCTGACAGATCTGCTTTATTTCAGAGAAAGAAAAGCACAACCACTATTATTTCAGTACTTTGTGGGATTCTTGTAATAGTTGAATAATTTATTTTCTATTATTTACAGTTACTTAGAACTTTCAATTAATCTTGTATAATATTCTAGGATTTAAATTCTGCAACTCCTGTTTAGTCTGTTAGGTCCTGAGACTTTATGTGCTTTACAACCCTAGAATCCCTAGGTTTTAAAAGACAGAATCACAGTTCTATTTTGTGCTCTCCTTGAATGCATAAAACCGCCCTCTAAATCAAACTGAGATTGGTCCTGAGCACTGAGACTGCTGTACAACAAAACATAACTTCACAGACAGAACTGCAGACCCAAAAAGCGACATTTTATTCTACCTTACATAATCCACCAACACTCTTCATCCTACTTAAGGTTAGGCATCTTTCTTGGAGAACTGCCATTGTGGGCTCCTGATCAACACAGAAGGGTAGAGAAGCACAGACCTCCATGTGGTGATTTAGTTCCCTTCAGATCACCTTTGAGTTGCTTGTATCTACTTATTGATAATAAGGGGAACTGGAGCACTGAGATGGCTTTTTTCCGTTTAATATTTTGTGCGATTAATCCTTTTTTGGTTGGTCATTTTTTTTTCACTGACACAATGTTCCAAATCCTAAGGTCTTGATTTGTTTTGTTTGGACTAGATCATTGTCTGGATTTGTTTTCATTCTTGCAAGCAACTTAGTCATACTGTTTTCTCCAGATGAGAACTGTGACTGTGTAATCAACATTGAGGCTACAGTGCTGACATTCTACATTTATGCTGTAAATTATTGTGTGGAAACATCCCTATTTTCTGATGCTGAAAGCACTGAAGTGTAAAAAATGTTGGTTGACCTCAGTGAGCTTTCAAGGAAAGCATAAACAAAGTTTGTGCAGACTTCAGTATGAAAAAAATACATGTCCATCTCAAACAGTTTGTGGCCACGTTCTTCGCAAGCTAATCCTTCTACAACGGTGGTATATGACTAACACTGCTTTAGAATTCAAAATAGGTCTTAATAGATGATTCACTGTGTCACAGAAAGATGCCTGAAATAGTCATTCACTGTTATTTGTCTTCTTGAACAGTTTACAGAAATAATAAGTATTCCATTTGACAAACAAGTGCAAACATCCATTAGCTAAATGACACAATATATATTTTCACTAGGTCTGTAACTTTCACTAGTACTCTATCAATAGTAACTGCTGAACAGTCTGCAATGTAGAAGTACACGTGTTTTAGTAGATGTATAATTGCTCTGGTTACAAGGCCACTGAGGTGTTTAAAGAAAGAAAAATAATTGGATAGCCTGATCTGTCTTTAAAGTCAGAAGAAAAGAGAAAAAAAAATCCTTGTATGTAATCTGTAAACTACAGATCCATGGAATTGGTCTTACAAATTTATTGATCTGCAAATGAGTTCCACCCCCCAACCCATAAACAATTATCACCGAAGATCCAAGAGTGAAGTAGAGCATAAACTTCGGTGTGATTACTGTTTGTTCTGTAATAATATTGAAAATTATAAACTGCATACAGAAATACGAAGGAGCCTTTTTCTTACTATATCCTGAGTGCAAAGGACAGCTTGAATAATGATATCTTAAAATTGTGAGATTAGCCAATTAGTTGTTTTCATTGGAAAGCTTACACCTGAGTTATAAGGCATAAATTGGAGTGTGTTTATATGTGTAACCACCATAGGACTGTCATATGGAGACATAAATGATGGGTTTACAGATGATGCATGAGGTGAAATTTAATTAATTTTCTGTGGGTTTTCTGCTAGACATGGTAAAAGTTATTTTGAAAATACTTATATGCAGACAGGAGCAAAGTCAATGAGGAGTTTCTCATAGCCTTTTGGACCTCTTATAAAATGGTGTAATTCCCATACGAAGCTACACTGTGTCTCTTTCCATGTGTCTGTTAAAAAATGTGGCTTTGAACAGAACTCTCTTTTATAAAGTTATATTGACTTCACAAGTGCTGAGTAGCCAGTGTTGCTATTGAAGCAGATGGTACAAGCAAGCTTGTCAACCAGGAGCCAAGGAGGGCTGTGGTGTTTCAATTTAATCCATACAGCGCCTTAAAGTCGCCGGTCAGCAGGGAGGCACAATGAAGGCAGGTATCAGTGGTGCCAAAAGGACACCATGGGCATGTCCCTCATACTCTGAGGGGAAAGTGTTCTGAAACTGTATTCAAGCTACTAATCTGGGCTTATTAATTTTGCATTACTGCTACATGGACCAGGGCACTATTTCTAAATGTAACCAGAACACGGTTATGAAAACACACAAAACTTTTGAGTGAGCACCAGTCTTTTGTGCTACATTAAAGGTATTGATAAATATAATTGGTTACTGCTTGCCACTGCAGAAAATATGAAAGATCAGCCTGGTGAAAGACATTCTTACGTGGACAGATCCCAGCAATGGACTTTGGTCCTCCCTCAGCATGAAAAAACTCATGTAAGCTCTAGATGATGTCTCTTAAAATTAAACGCTGTCTCAAATTCATCACAGATTTAACATAATCAGACATTAAGTTAATTAATTTTGATAATTTTTAATAATTTAAATATATAATCAGTAATATAAAGTAATAATGTGCAAAAATGCACATTAATAATGTGTGCTCATGTAAACAATAGCAACAATTACCTAAACAGAATTCAAGTCTTAGGCAAGCTGTAGATGTTTGAACTACTATTCTTAGTCATTCCAAAAATGCTTCATTTCCTTAGTTATTGCATTACTGGGTGTTTTCATCTAACTTGGCTTATTTTGCAGTCTAGCAGGATCAGTTCTAGGTCAGTAAATAATGATCCATAATAAGGTAGTAGCCACAGCTGTTTACCCCAGACATAATTATGGTAGGTGAGCTTGCCATGTTCTGCATGTTTTACTGTCAGTTACCACAATGCCTGTTGGTCACCATAATACATATTTTTTGCAGCAGTTCAGTAAAAATATTGAAGTAGGTAGGTAAAAAAGGTGCAGGCTTATTTACTCAATACCATCCTGTATTCTAAAAAGCTAAAAAGAAAAATTAGAGTAATTTAAAAATGTCCAAGTTCTACATGATAGAATTTTATGCATTCTTGTTCAACTACTGTAGTCCTTATTCATATAAAATTTTGTATTAAAGGGCCATAATATTCAATAGGAAATTAAATATCACAAAAGTTCATTAGTGTATAGAACAGGCAGCATTTGTCATTATGCAGATGTGTCACCCTAAGACAAAGGGTAAAACTGGATCATTCATTTAGCTGCAGGCTAGAGCAAACTCCTCTTCTTCAAAAAAGGATTGAGAGGGACAAGACAAGCACACAAGGCCGTGTGCTATTTTACACTGTTATTACCAAAAGTGTTAGGCAGCACATAATAGTGACTATCAGAAACACAAGCTAGAGAAATAAAGTAAGAGAAAATCAAATCACTGTCTCCAAAATGACACACCAAACTTTATCAGTATGCTGACCTAAAGGCATCTTGTCTGGCAAAATAAATACAGGTGATTTAGCCTTTCCACGCAGAATAATCATCTCTGTTTACTGTCCCCTTGTACACCATCTTGTTTCACACTGTAAACCATCTTGTGTTCCTCCTGTGTACAAAACTCACTTCTCAGGCACTACTGATGAGAAAATTCTGTATGTTTAGTAAGCTACTGAGCTACTTTATAACCAGAACAAAGACTCACCTTGTCTACTTTATCTGCCCCCAGCCCTGGTTAACAGCAGATCCCTAAGCCATACTATAAAAATGGGACAATCAAGTGGTGTTTCCTGTAGACCATTTCCTCCTCATCTGCAGCTCATGAATTTCATTAACCAAGTTTATTTGTATTTAATGCCCTCATAGATTTTTCTCCTTGCTTCCCAAACTCATGTAAATTTAAGTTTTTCAGGTCTTTCAGCAAAACGTTCTTCAGAGTAACACATTTTGGTTGTTTGAACCTACCATCTACTACTATCAGTATTCTAGATTAATAAATTCTACACTTTCTGTAATCTGGATTATTAACACCTATTAATAATCCCCTGTACTTCTTATGGGAACCTTGGTCAAGGTGTTAATTGCATACTTTTCATGTCTCTGTTACACCGGTCAGAGGAAGATGACCTTGGTATGGGCCAATATAATTCTGTTGGTACTCTTCCCATCTGAGTGACTTTTCTGCTGAGATTGCACTCTTGGTGCATATGTAAATTTTCCCCTATGCCTTTATCCTGTGTTTTTGCATCATCTGTATTTCCTTCCTTAGAGAGAGAATGAGTCCCTTTCCTGTGCATGCACATTCTATTTCCAAAACCAGTGTACCTGAACCCCAGCAGTGCCAGGTGCTAGTTAACGCTTTCACTGAAGTATATTATTCATCTTATTTCAATGCACGGTTTCCACAAGGTCTGTTTTATCACCATGGAGTAAAGAAAACAATGCCAATATATATATAATAAAAACAAAGGGGTTTTGGCCACTTACCAAGTGAAGATAAGACATAATAAGGTGGATATTAAAATGAGGACTTGATTAAACATTGCGGACTGTGTGCGTTGGATGGCTCGGTGAAGATCATTCTGTGTTAATGGAAAATAGGTGTTATTTTTGGTTTTGAATTACTAAGCCATGAGCTGATTCTATAGAGGAATTATATAGTGCCCTGATAGAAATGCAGTCATTCAAATGCACTTAGAATTTGCTGAAAATATAGAAGGGTGCAAAAGAGCCAGCTGTGATTCTGTGATTATTTAACTGGTTCTTTGTTCATCCTGGCACAATTCTGATACTAGTGCAAGCTGCCTTAAGGTCTGTCTGCTCATGTCTAGCTTACAAATTACAGGCTGCAAGGACCAATTAAGGCCTAACAGTTGAGTTCCCTGCAATTGTGCATGAATGGCTGAGTAGCAAAAGAACCATCCACTGCCATTTCCTTTATTGGCACAGTAACAATTTATCCTAATTGAGATTTCATTTCATGTCTTATTTTTTTTCTAATTTTGATGCAAAGCAGTTTAGTAATGGTTGACCATTTGTATAATCTAAATACAGATCTGGTTAGCTTCCTATTAAGGTTAGACTGTACTGCCAAAATCCTGCTAGAGACAATATACTAAAAAAAAAATAGAAACTCTAAAATATTTATTTCCTTTGCATACTTACAATCATATTCTCTAAAGCATGCTTTGCCAGCCAACAGTTTAAAAATACAGGAATAAACAGGTTTCTTAGGACTGGCCAGAAAATCTGAAAGAAATTAACAAATTAATTACAAGCTTTTCTAGGAATATTCTGAGGAATAGAGCTTTTCTGTTCAAGCAGCAATGAAACGCTTGGTAAAAATACTTACTATTAATGGGTTTCTAGTGTGAGATATGGCTTTAAATATAATTTTCTTCCTTTGTGATTAACTGCATGCAAGATTATTTGATAAAATAAGAACAATCAGTTTTCACTGCAGACATGAGTGATTCTTACATTTTTATAATCAGCTGGCTTTTTTTATTGATTGTGCTGTAGTTTGTGTTAGAGGGTTTGGGGTTTGTTTGTGCCCTATTAAAAAGGAAGGAGGAAAGGGATCTGTATTATTACTTCACTCAAGTAGCAAAGTATCTTGTTGACAAATTTCTGTTCCCATAGGCACAAACTCACCATCCACCTAAGATTCAAATTTACTTTAAAAAGAAATTTGTGCAGCTATAAAAGTGTAATGTGCAAATATATTAATTCAAATATGTTTACCGTGATGATGAAAGGGACAGCATTAATTATTTCCAGGAGAAAGGGTATTCTCAGAATTTGTTCCCAGATATTTCCCTTCAAAGAAAAGGAAAAAAAAAACACAATGTCACAGTAGGATTACATATAGTTCTGATGAGAAATATATGTGATATTCCAATGAAACATATGGAATCTCTCCCACTACCTGAAATTCAGGAAGATAATTCATCTCAGATTTAAACACATATGACGGATGTGAATATAGAATATAGACCACTCTGAATTCTTTTTCTTACTGTTGATCATAATGTACCTCACATACTTTTAAATTTATATTCTTACTAGAGCAATTCTCTGATTCCATATGCCAATATATTTCCTTGCTATGACCTAGTTAGTAAACTTAAATGAATTCTAATTGCGTTAACTAGTCAACGCATTCACTCAGCTAATGAAGAGCTTCATTAAATTAAGTTTTTATTTTTTCAGAGAATAATAAGCTCTTGCTGTCTTCTATTGCTCTTTTAGGTACCTTGGAATCACACACAGACATCCTGTCTCTGCTTTTTCACTCTTTAAAGGTGAGTTTACTTTTATTTTTACGTGCACACCTACAGATAAGGAGGTGAAGTTCCTGTCCTAAGGAATTTATCTTTTTAATAATTCTTGATTTTCAGTGAATCTTCATACAAGTAACTGACTATCTTGCTGGCAAACTCTTTTATCTACAACTATTTCTACTTCTTTTTCTTGGAAGCCTCTAAAGCTTTAAAATCCTACATTGCAAGGCTCTAGCTTTTGATTGTGCCAATTTTATTCTTATAACGTTTATTGACTTGGAACATCTTAAAACTAGAGACAAAGCCCCAATACACCATTAAGAGTTGCAGAGACATATGTGCAAAGGAAATGCTTTGCTCAGAAAATTTTAACATCAGATCAACTGCTTGAATTACCCCTATGCACAGGTCACTGCCCTGTAGTCCATACTCATGTTTGTTATGAATGATGAGCCATGCTTTGTACATCCTTCTGATAGAAGTTTGTGTCAAAATATGCAAATATGTCATATTTTCCAAAGAAAAAATACCAGCTTTTCTCTTAATCTTGTTTCATGAGCATTTGGTAGTCACATTAGCATGGTAGTCACAGAGGTCTGGATATTCCAGAGTTTTTATTACTCTTTATTACTCTTTTTCTTCCTCTTTATTACTGCTAATCCTGCTATTAAGATATTAACTCATTAAGTATTAAAAAGAGGAATGAAGATAGGTGAGGGAAAGATAAAAGTATTCTATAGTGAGTCCTTCCTTCCTTTGCATTATCTTTACTCAGTATTTTTTCTCTGCCTTTTGTTTTGGAGAGGGAAATAAGGAAAAAAATCTAATGTTTAATATTTGAATTAGGACTACAACATCAAGTTCTGTATTTCTGCCACAGACACTTCAGTACATTTCAGGGCTTTTTGGAACTTGATCTTGCTCACATGAAATTAGAGGTCTTCCCACATACTTCAATGAACCTGGCATTAATCTCTTAAGTTGCTTACTGCTAGCAATAGGATGAGGATAATACTACTTTTTTTTCCGTGTCTGAGCATTGGCTGTGGATGATTAAATTTTGGAATGAAAATCCATAGATTTAAAAAAGAAGGTAGTTGAACTTCAGCGACTTACAGCTTTACAAATGCTGTATATCAAGACTCCATCATAGGTAAAGCAATAACAATGCATGATATACCATGGCAGTATTACAAGAATTTGCAGTAGAGCATTACATTTTCAGTTGCAATAACATATTCTTTCCTGTTAAAATAACCATCTGATATAACCACTGAAAATTAAATACAAACTCCATAGCATATAAAATTCTTTTTCCATTTTTAATTTTTCACACCTGGAAGCCATTGTACCTAAGAGGCAAGGATTGTCATCTTCCATGTAATTGTAATTGGTGGGAGTCAGATATACCAGTGAAATTATGAGGCTGTAAACTGAGGGGTTTTGGTAAGAATAATCAAAATAAAATCTGATTTTTCAAACTGATCCATTTAATGATTTCACTAATTTCCTTGTTTTTAATGTTAAGAGCTTTCTTCTCTGCATTATAGAGAAGAAATGTCACATAATTCACTTGTGCAGGCAAAATGCCTGTGTGGATGGGCTCCAGGTAATTAGGGATGCGTGCAGCTGTAAGATTCTGGCTTCCACATAAAAATGCATCATGTCTGCAAATCTGCCTTTTGCAGTGAGAATGTGTGGTACTGCCAAAAGCAGCTAAGACTGCTTCTGCACAAGTGACAGGGTAGGATTGCCAGATGTCTGTGACAAGTTTTGACAATGGAGATTTCTGATGCAGACATCTTTCAGGGTTCTGGCCAAGGGCAAACCCTCGTGTAGTGGTTTAAACTGTGAGAAAGCAGATTGTAAACCATTCCTTCTTGGATCCAAGTGATCAGCACTATAACACAGTTCTACGTTCTTTGGATTCCTCCCCGTACAAAGGCAATAACAAATGCAAATTCACTGTACAGTAGTAGCATGATACACTACTATGTCCTTGCTATTCTGCGTGTTGAATCATTTCTCATATGTCATCAACCAGGTATCAGAAAGGTAAATTCCTTGGAGTATTCTCTTATTATTCTCTTGCTTTATTTATTTTACAGGTTATTTGTGAAATCCTGCTAATGTGCACATGAATACAAACACAGTCATCTCTTTCTTGTTGTTTTCTTCCTGGATAATTCTCTGACTTACACCTAAATTGTAGAAGTCTTGAAAGTGCTGGCATAAAATAAGTAATCTGTCACAGATTTACATGAACCAAGACACCTTTGGTCACCCTGTGACCAAGTCTTACAGTGGGTGAAATAAGAGCCTTCTTGGCTTTGAGAGACTGCTGTAAAACTAAGAAAATAGGACCAGAGGAAAGAGGGTGTTTTGCATCAGGTGGATTGCAAAACTGCATTTCAGTACTTTTATTGTTCCTTAGCTTAGTCCTCCCCTTATGGGGAGTGGAAATACAGCCATCATAAAATTGCCTTAACTTCTGTGACAGGTATATGCAGCAAATCAGGGCAGCAGAGCTTTACATCCATCACACTCCAGTAAGTGACTTCTCACGGAAGCTGACTTGCCAGCATTTCTCTCATCTTCTCTACTCACTGAAATTGGTGCAGATCACAAGCAGAATGGATAAGGATAAAATGCTGCCCAGTAAACTCAGGAAAAGTACAAATCGTGATTGCCCTTTACTATTTTGCCACTAGGCATGTAAATTTTGGATAGTTTCTGCCTATAATTGGTTTGCATTTGTAACCACCAGCTCCTAAATAATACGTGCTCCAAGGACTAAGAAGAATAATTTTTAGACAGCTTCTTAGCATTATTGGGCACTAAAGGAAACATTTATGGCATAATCACTTGATGAGCAAACTAAAGAACAAGTCTCTAAATTCAGTGGTGGCTCTGATAGCTACTGAATGTCAGTAATATGAAAAATAATAATAAAAAAAGATGATGCTCCAAGATATTTTCAGCTTTATAAACCAAATCTTTTTGTATTTTCTTTGATAAATGATTTTAAATGATTTTAGTACTTTTATCCTGAAGGTACTAAAAATGCAGAGAACCTAAAACTCACTAGGATAGAGCATATGAAAATGAAACTATGAAAACTGAATAAAAACATTGGAAAAACATAAAGGAGAATGCAAATACAAAAATTCATCGTATTCACTTCAAATGGTTTCAGGGCATTTTGCAAAGATGTTCCAGTAGCATCAGCGAGATGGATGACACAAGTATGTAGATATCCATAATTATTTTTTTTTTAAAGTACTGTCTTGGCCTAGTTTTTTTGCTGTGCAGTTTTAGAGGCCTGAGACTTGAGTTATACATATTGAGTAGCTATAGCTTTGGCATCAATGGGAATTGTGTGCAATGCATTATGGATAGACAGAAAAAACTGTGCAACTGAAAAATCAGTATCAAAGAATAAAGATCACTTCAGAGAATGTGTTTTTAAATTACAGTGTGCCAGTGGACAATGGAAAATAAGGAAAATTTAATTTCTGACTTGCACTTACTCTCTAGATATTAGAGTTTGCTCATAAATTTAGGAAACAGGGCTTCCTGTGACAATAACTATGCTCTAGAACTGTGTTTTTCTCAACTTTTTGCTTGCTCATCAGTGTGGGCACAGGCACATGAACTTTATACTGAAACATTTAACTTAGTTACTTTTTGTAATGAATTATGCTTAAGAGAAACTAAAAGTACTTACCTTGTAGCTTAGATAACTTAGCAGTAGAGTTTCAAAGAGACTTATTACAGCCACAGACACCTTCAGTGAAGTGAAAAAATATGAGTATTAATACTGGCTTCTATAGAATATATGCTATTAAGCATTACAATGAAAATAAAAGATAATATAAAACAGCTTTTCTGTGTATCCTCTGAAAACATCTCAGCTAACAGCATTTAGCATGAAGCTTAGATATTGTTATTTTTCTGAGTAAAGCACGGGCTACATCTTGAGTACCATTTCTCTTTTCGAAACACAACACTCCAGAGATCCAGCAGCATGGCCTTTCCACAGTGTTCAGAGAGCTGCATACACAGTCTGTCAGATTGTTGCTCAAGTTTCATTTCTGTTCCTAAAAGGTAGCAAGACCTTTTCACAGGACAGAGAAAGAGAAGAAGGAAGCTGTATAAAATTGAAGCCAGTCACCTCTTTACTTTCCTGTAAAGATGTTAGGAATGTGTGGAAAAGCAAACACTCTTCTTACTGTGTATAATTCAGAAAGTTGAAAAATTATACAGAAGAATCATTATTATTTTAATATTTAAATGCAGCTGAGATCAACTTACCAGCCTTCACTTAGACTATATATTTTTAGTGTATGTATTACATAATTTAAAAATATTTAAATAGTCAAATATGAAAATAATAAAAAATACTTAGAGCTACATACATATTAAATAACTATAAAACTTATTTGTATAGCAGGTATTTGTATTTTAATGCGTATTGTGGGAGTATTCTATCAAGATGTACAAATTTAGCTGGAGTATTAAGTCAAACAAGCCTCAGGATTTCTCATTTTAAATTAATGCTCACTATTACTGAAAATTTGGAAGAGTGCACTATTTGCACTCACAATATCATTAGCTGGAGTTAAAAAAGATGCTATGGATTGGAAAATGATTAATATATCCAATCAAAGTAGATCAGTTTCTCCAAGTGATTATTACTGTTTTATATAAACACAGGTTATATTTTCCAATAAAAAATAAATCTTTTTTTGCAACTGTTGTACATAATCTATTAGGAATGCACGTGTATTTACACATGCATATACATAAACATAGGCATAAATTCCTCTTTATCAAATAAACTTACTAGAATAAGACTATTCATAAGCAAATAAATATCTCAGTATTTTTTAATTAAATTTTACAGTAATCTGAATGTCTATGTCAAAAATTACTCAAACTGTGCATACTCTAAGCAAGGAATTGTAAGGTATTTTCATTAAGGGATTCTTCCCTTAGAAAAATTGTGTATTATACAGGTACAAATTATCATAATGGCATTGCACCAATCATGGTGAAAGAATATAATGGGGTATATACCAGAATGGTATAACCATTCTGGAAACTTAATTAATTCTTAGTAGAAAAACACATTTCACAGGGAGAATTCCAACAGCACTGTCCTCAAGTTAAAAAAAAAAAAAAAAAAGTGTTCCTAAAATGAGCAGGCCTCAGGACACTGAGGTTTGAACCACAAACTTCATGACATCTCCCACAAAGTACTGATGTTGTGCCTCTTTTGTGACATACCCCTCTACATGTGTAAGCTTCTATATTATGGAGTAATTTTAGGTATCTAGCGTATCTAACAAGGAAGTCCATGAAGCATGTCAAAGGCTACTCATAAGCAACTGTGAAATTTAAACTCATCACTAGAGTAAACAGTGACTACTTGACTCAACAGAGCTTGATAATTCTAAGAGAAAGACCATCTAATTCTACTTTTTTAATAAGCTTAAATACATTGTAAATATATTGTAAAGCCATATAAATTCAAATCAGTTAGTTCAGATAAGCTTATTTTTTGCTGTACTTGGTGTTCGAGTAGATTTCCTTGCTAATATCAACTTTAACATTGCTACAAATGCTGTAAATCAATATCATCTAGTTATTAAATGGAAATCATTGAATTGGTCATTTACATATTACCTGTAATCCCCATAAAGGTAAGCTTCGGTTCACCCAAATAATGGGAGACCTGTTCATTAAAATAAGAAAATAAACATGAAATTAATCAATACCTGGTATTTTGAACAAAAAAGAAAAAAAAGTTGTACATATGACTGGAAATTAGAGCAGCAAGGTATACTGCAAGGTATAAGCATCAGATCTCACAAGAGTATCCAGTCCAGCAGGTCACTTATGCAATCAGAGAAACAATTACAATATTAAAGGCAGCTTTGAACAGTCAGAAACACAACTGCTTGAGAGTTATAGAAACATCACTATTATATGTTAACATGTCACCATTCCAGATGGAAATGGATTTGTCTTCCTGTTTTCCTCCCCTTCCCACCATTATGCAGACTTTTGGTTTGCTTTTGTAAATTAGGAACTTACCAATCAATCGTTCCAGGTGTGTAGTTTTGATTGGTGGAACAACTCCGATTTAATTCCTTACTGATGTTGTCATACCATCCATGCAAAGTCCATTTCCATTAGCAAATGTATATGGGAACACAGTCATAAAAACATATGGGAGGAAAGGGATATTATATTATTAAGTATTCTATAAAATATGTGCAATAGTTTGAAATTCTAGGCAATGGATACAGATGTTTTTAAAAGTAAAGCAGCTTTTAGAAAGAACAACTGTATGTGCTCCACATCTATAGTTAAAGGACTATGAAACATTTCAGGTTACATTTTTTAAAGATTTGTCTTCAAATATGTTCTAATTTACAAACAAAACAACTGAAATTATACTTTGTAAAGCTGAGCCAAGTATACAATATATACTGAAGATCAAGAGATACCAGAAAACCTATCACATGGATAGGCTGTGATAGAAAGAGCACATATACCTGCCACACTCAGCAGGAAAGACTGCAGCAAACTCCACTTGATATCCTCTTTTGAGGATGTGAGGAGGGCCGGAGATTAATGCAGCAGTAATTCAAGTACAGAATTACTGATATCCAATTAAAAAAAAAAATTGGCTGCTATACACATATGAGGTTAACTTGCCCTGAATTGCTGGAACAAATCCTCCTCTCAAATGGTCATGTGAGGATGTGGGAATATATACTTCTCTAAACGAGGAAAAATATCCTTGCTTATGCTTGGCAAGCAAGGTCAGCGGGAAAGAAAGGGATCTGTAGACCACAGATTAGCAACAACTGTATTTTTATCAACTATCAGTGGACAGGTGGTAAATTGTATCCATTAATAAGGATGCTTTATGTCTTAAGCTCTTTCCTGTACCACCTGCTGTGCCTGAAGGAGTAAATGAAATCTACCAACTTGTGCAGGCATTTCTGAAAAAACAGGAAATAAATCTGATGAGAAGCATTCCTCCTGGATTTGTCACTTTAAAAAGAACAAGGCAAAAATGTTTTCTGTGGCCACGATCTCGGCACGCTGAGTAGTTTCTTTCACTGGGCTATGACACAGTATCTAGGAATTATTTTTTCTTTCATATTACCTCATTTTTAAGAAAGCATCCAAGTGGTAGTTTTGGTATCAAGCCCTCAGGATCTCTATGGATAAAACCATTTATATTAATGGGGTAAAATTTGGGTACAGGGCTGGTTTGTCTGGCACAGCTTCTAGGACTGGGGTCTTAGTGAGCATGCAGAAGGACTTGTCTGAAACTTCTGAGCCAGACAAATGTTATTCAGAGACAGAACAAACTAACTAGTCTCTTAAATGTACCAGAACACAATATAAGGGAATAACATCTATAGAAAATATAAATACAGTCTCTAGCTGGTGAATTGTTAAATATTTGGTTTGCAGGAACAGACATGTTAGGAAAGGTGTGAGGAATTCAGCAGTCTGCAGATGACTATGAATATGCATCTTTGCCAATAAACACAAAAATATCAAAGTATACCTGTGGCAGTACTGATGCTCTAACCTGTCCTGCATACCCAGACATCACCTGCAGTATAACATGCTCATTTGGGCTCACTAGAGGTCTCATGACAAAAGAATAGCAGCATGCCAGAAACTATGATTAGGTGTAACCCTTTAAGTCCCTGAGTTGCTGTGCTTAATATGCCTAAATTTCTAAGGATGGATTTTCTCTTCTCCATCACTGTGAAAAATTTTGCAAAAACTTTACTGCTCGTTTCCACCCTCCATTTCCTCTTATTGAAGAGACATTCTAAGATACATGTAAAGTAAAAAACAGGTCTTTGAAGGTCTTGTTTTTCAGGGAGACTTTTTCATGGCCCTAAAGTAAAATCCTAAAAGAATTGTTACATAAACTAGCCATCAGATATTTGCAATTTTACATAGAAATGTTATATAATAATACAACCAAAATATATGTTTGCACAATTATATCTGATGCACAGTATCTAAGCAGAGAGCCAGGATTATTTTAGCAGTAAAGTGAAAAAAATAGTATTGTTATTTTAATTCTTATTTCCATTCACAGTGTAAGACTAGCTTTATAATTCATTCAAAATATCTGCAAGACATAAAACCAAATCCCTGTTGACAGAATATCAAGCATGTATTTGTTAATTTGTTTCTTATAACTTAAACAATGCTTTAAGAGCAGAAATGAGAAAAAGCCCCAAACATTACCATCCAAGTCCTTGTGTAGGATCATCCAGGAGCACACGAACTATGTATAAGAAACAACTTAGTAGCTTGAGAGAGAAATTGAATAATCGTATTCTCAGACCTATTTTGAAGACAAAAGAAAATAATGAAATAAATCCAGGTTTTTAAACCCACCTTTAAGGTAAAACTAAAAGGAACTGGAATAGCCATGGGGTAACAAAGCAAAGGTCCATTTAGCCAGTCACCTGTCCCTGAAAATTGGCACATCACATGGAGAATGCAAGAATAGACATGTTGGATACACAAATAGTGCACTTTTCCATCTTCCAGAAATCTCAGTCAGTTTTAATGTAAATAACTACTCAGTCATTTGTTTGAAAACTACTCTATGCCATTCATCTTAACTGATGCCATTTTTGGGCCTTTAAAGGGGAACCAGAACTAGATAATGCTTTTTGAGATGCAAGATACAGCAACATGAAGAAAACATACTTTCAACCATAGGCAGAGGATATACAATGGAAAGTATTTAAATATTAATATCTGAAAGTCCTCATGCAGTAGCTTCACATACAGAATATATTAATTCTACTCCAACTTATAAAATATTTAACTGTAGTTATTTAATGTTGAAGTTGAATCATTATGCATTCAAGAATCAGGACATCTGAAAGTCATGCTGAATGCACAACTGAACTGAATCAACAACTTGTTCTACAGACCATGTGAATATTGAAATGTTCTAGCTGAAAGGATATACCACAAATACTATCACAAAATATTACAGTACTTCCTACAAACATAGGTCTACTGCACAAAGACAGGATTTTCCTTTAAAGGGATTCACATGGACACTTACTCCTATCACACGGGCTCATTGGAGACATTTTCTGCTACAGTGGAACTTCACTGTAATTTTATGCAATTTTGCGGTCATTAGAGGATTAGAGTTTAAATTTTCAGTATTGCTATTAAATTCAATAGACTGTTTTGATAGTGTAAATATTTGCATCTGACTCTTAGTTTTAAGCTTTCATTCACTAATTAAGTTAAAACTGTTAGTTGACTAATGTTAAATGGGTGGAGATCACTTTAAGCATTAATTGTTTTTTCAATCTTGTGGACTGAGAGTCCACTTCTGCACAGCTGAACCCTTCTGCCCAAAGCAGAATACTGTTGACTGAGCCTTACCCAGATGTGACTACATTTGCACCTAGTCATAGTAAGGACAGTATTATTGTTGTGCTGCAAATACTTCAGCAGGTCTGCTGAACATAATATAATTACTTATGTGTGCATACATTCCCTTTTAAGGAAAGAATCATAATTATATTATATTACATATTTTTTGACTTTACTCGGTCTTAAGTTCAAAATCAGCACCCTATAGGTAAAACTGATAAATCACTTCTTATATCTACTGGTTCCTTTCCCTTTAAAACTTAAATCTGCTACAAACACAGAAAAATAGAAAACAGAGTCTTAAGTATACTACCATGCAATTGCTGGAAGAAATCTTAGTTTATTATACAAAACTCCTTACTATTTTTAACTGTGAAGTTGTAGTCATCACATAAGAACTGCATGGATTTTTATTGCATCTTCATTCTAGGGGTTAAAATCCCATGGACCATGAGAAGTCCCACAGCTGTTACTGGCAATTTGATTTGAGAACATTAACCTAATGATTCCTGCTGTCCTATCAAGAGTAATTAGCCACAGGCAATTTATTCCCTAACAGTGAAGGGAGTGAAGTAGTAAGTGGAACGGGAGGCTGCATGAAGGAAGGAAGTAAGTAATGTGTGTAAGGTGTTGTCATCCTATTATTTGACTTGGAGAGCACTATGATCCTTGTTTGCAGCTTTTTCGAACTGTTGGTGAAGAAAACATGAGTTGTTTGTTTGTCCTAACCCTTTTGTGGAAGTCTGTTGGAGTATGAATGGTTGCCATAACAACTAGGCTATTACAACTAGAAAAGCAGATAATGTTTGAAAAATAAAAAACAAAACCTAACAAACAAAAAAAGCGTATCAGGAATTCTTTTCCTTGCCAATTTTGTGTTGTTTAACTTTCTTTGAGTACAGAAGTCCGTTGTTTTTCTTCTGGTTTTTTGCTCTGTGAATGTTAATCTTGGGGTGAAACACTTGTTTTCTACATCGGTTTCTAATCATCATTTGAAATTTCATGTTGGTTTAAATGCCAAAAGAAAATGGTGCTTTTCTGATTAAAAACTACATCAGTATAAGGGACCGATGTTCCTGCTTGCTGCCTTAAATTCTTAACCCTCAAACCTTAGTTCTGATAGATCTGCAACTCAGGCTTCAGATATCTCCACAAGGAATGGCTGTTCCCAGAATGTGAGGCAAGGTTTTCACACTAGACATGCTTTCATCTCAGGGTTCTGGTCAGTGTGCATATCACGGCTGGGGTTATATATAAAGTAGGGCAATAGTATAGGTCCTGTGCCTTGATCGGGTCAGTTATTAAAACACAAATATGAAAGAACAGGCTTCAAGTTTGTACTGTTTCAGAAGGTCACCTCTCCTAGTTCTGTTTGCCTTAGCCTTTAGAAACAGAGTGTGCTGTCAGAGGGAGCACATGTAGTTACCCTTGCTAAAGTTTTGGGAATTAGTGTAGGACTAATAGAAGTATTTTTTCTCCAGTAGAAATCTTCTGTAGCCTCATAGTTAGGGACGTCACGTGTGAGTTGGAAGCAAAGTGTGTGTTCCACTGTCGTGGAGATCTAGGATTTCAAATGTGGCAAGGAGGGGGATGATCACCAGAGAAGGCATCTAAAATAGATTTTCAGTTATTATTCTGTTACAAAGGAAGCATTTCATATGTCTGTTTGCTTGCTGTCTATTTTTGTTCTCTATTTCACATGCTGTCAACATGGTCTGCTTGACTTAATTTCTTTTTCTTCATTCACAGCCAGATTTTTCAAGTAGCAGGGTCATTTGCACAGAATATCTCTGTATTTTGACATGGGTGCCAGAAACTTGTATTCAGCTACATCAATCATATACTGTTATTCAGTTATTTGTTTTTTAATGAGAATGTAATTTCACTGTGTCTATGTGACCAAGTTGTTACATACTTTGTTTTCTTTAAAAGAAGAATAGATAATAACAATTCAAAATCTATTTGTTTTGTGAACTAAATATAACTATGTCGAATCTTAATGTTTCCTACTTGGTTTGAACAAGTATTTGCTGGTTTTGCAGGCATTCACCAGTTCTGACTGTGACTTTCACTTTTATTATAAACTCTTGATGCTTTCCTTGCAAGCATTTTTGGAGATTAATTGTCAGATTTAGAGAGCTGATCTAAACAGAGTGACAGAGATACCAGATGAGAATTTTACAATCACCTTCCATTATTCCTCTTTTATAAATCACTAATACATTTCTGGGTTTTAGCAAAATCATCTCAGTAGCAGCTGGCTTTAGGAGTTGGGCCAAAATATACTGTTAATAATTTATATCTCAGTGATGGTTATCTTTTATTCCCTCTTTACTGAATTGAAACTTCACTTATTTTTTTCCCTTTGAGACTTATTTTAGGCTGTGACAATGCAGTGTGTGATCTTGGCAAGTACAAGCAAGTCATACAAATATGCCATCTTTCTCTTTTTTTTCATACATTGTTTGAACTTGGTTAGACATTTGCTTGCAGAAGATTGAGTGAAAGCTAAGTTGACATTAGACATAGATGAAGGCTTGTTTTATCAGTTTAAACCAGAAAAATAATGAATAAAACAGTTGATATTTCAAGCTACTGGCCTGTATGTGATTTAGATGAGAACAGTATTCTGTAGAAAACTCATATAAATTCTAGAATTGACTGCTCTGATTGACAAAACCATTTGATATTAAGCAAAAACTGTTTGGTGAAAATGTTTGGTTTAGCTATACTATCTGAAAAATTGCTGCTACTAGTGACAGTTTTCTCAATGACAGCACGTACATCTTTAATTTGTGAAGGAAGGGTTTCAGTGCTCTCACCAAATACAGACTAAGATCTAATATCTTTGCTTACCAGCTCCCTCATACCGCTGGGCAATAGATCCCTCCAGTGTCAAGGGAGGATTGAATGAGTTCACGTCAACGAGTGGCAGGTGACTATGTCAGAAGCAGGTTTTTGGAGATTATATTTTGGGGGATTCTGGTTCTGAGTATTTGGACATGAAGTAAGAGAAGCAGAAGGAGTGTTTGAACTTACTAATTCTGACTACTTTGTTTTGGGGATTTTTATTTTTTTTTTTTTTAAATTAAGATGAATTTCCCATGTCTGTCTATGTAAGTGTAATAAATAATGCATTCCCTGTGGATGAAACTCCTGAAGCTTTCTTAAACCTGATTCTCCAGTTAAAAACCAGCAATTAATTCCAAAGCCCATATTATTGTCTTCAATTGAACTGGATTTTACTCAAAGTGTCACAGATATGCTTAACAATTAATGCAATTACTTACTTGATCTTTGGTTTTTGATGAAGAAGAGCTTTAGTCTCTCTTTAAATGTATTTTCATTCATATAGAATTCAACTTGCACCCTGAAATATAAAAGGAAATATTAGAATTGGATATGAAAGATAATAAATTAATATTTCAAAGAAATTTGTTTCTCTATTTGTTCTCTATTTCTTTATATAAAACTAGAGGAACATATAGAGTGTTCAGCCAAAAGCTTATTTGGCTTTGAATGACTCATGTGAAAAGATTTAAAAAACATAAACAAAACAACAACAACAACAACAAAATCAACAAACAAAAACCTCTTTGTTTATCCCCTTTACATGCAGAATCACTTTCATATTACTTGGACAGTCTATACTGCAAAATAAGAAGCATCTATGCTTTTGGTATTTTCACTGGATGACTGTTCTCAAATTTCCACCTTGGTAGGGAAGATTTCCTTGATGTTCAGGTTAAGCCTTCCATCTCAGTTTAACTCCCTTCCCATAAAACTGAGATTTTAATGATTCTTCTTTTTTCTGCCTTGTTCACATCTCTGTTAAGCGTTCATGTCTCTGTTCACTTGTTTGTATTCACCTTTAATCAAATGTTCATGCACCGAACAAACTGCTCTCTCTGAACTTTGTTTTTGTCACAATAAAATACTGAGATCCAAAAGCAAAATTATGGTGCAATCTCCCAATATTGTACAGAAAATAACTCCCCTTCTGATTATATTACAGCAATAGTAACATCTTTTTTTTTCCTCCATTCCCCTCAGATCTGCCAGGATGTATTTCATCTTTCTGTCCCTCAATTCAGTCTGAGTACAACTCATGCAATAGTTATACAGACTAGAAGAGAAAACTGCTGCAGGGACTGGCAAGGGAAGCAGGTGTGCATTAGTTGTATAGAAAAACTTTGGCTGTTCCAGAGTTGTGGAGGGGTACTGCTCGCTGTAGGATGAGTGCAGCATTAGTCTCGTTTTCATGAAGTCCCCACTCTACCCAACTTACTGAACCTCCCTCACCAGCCCAGTTCTCCTCCAGCAATGAATCTCTACTGTGGCACAATTTCTGTCCCTCCCTGAGAAGTCAGTCCTGGGTTTGAGAACTGTTCTGTTATTGCTAAAGAATAAAGTGACATCACACAAGTGACCCTCACATCTCACTTCTTCTATATATCATCATTTGTTGCACAACTGCATATACTTTTTCTGTTCACAAGCGTGCTTGAACTTTATTTCAGCAGTCTTTCTTCAGATAAGTGTACTTCAATTACTTATTTATATATGTACTGTCATATTTTTCTAGCACGATCCTGACTTTTGTTTTTCCCTTCTTGCATGTGAAGCCTATGCTGAAACAATTTTTGTATAATCTAGTTACCTACAGTGTCTCTCTTCCCCTCAAGTACTTGTCTATACCATATATTTCTGTACACTTATGGAATTGGAGGATTATTTATGGTATATGGGCCTAGAGTGGGTGCAGTCTCAGCTAATGGGACCTTTTCTAAACTTCTGCTTATTACCAGAAGTTTAGACATAGAAGTTTGTTGGACAGGGTCATATAAAGAAGAGTCTGGTTCACTCGGTGAGCTTGGTTAATTTTAACTAGTCATTTACCTTTGGTTTGTTTTATTGTAGTGTTCCTTTTAGGATGGGTGATTACACTGCTTCCTATTCAGAGGAAGCAAAACCATAACCTTATTTTTAAGAATCTATATTTTCCAAGGTACTTACTGTCATTAATGCAGTGACAGCTTTAGTGGGAAACATCTTCCATGACTTGGCAGCTGCCACATGCTAAGTGTATATACTTAATCTTCAAGGATATATTTCAGTAGGTAAACAAAGTGGCACAAGCTATTGAAGTACGAGCTGTTATTAAAGGAGGCATAGTATTGGTGTTCTTTTCCTTCTTTTCTTTTTACACATTCTAAACTAATCTCTCAGAGTTTTCTGTTGGAAAATTGCAGTAATTTTCACTTATGAAAAAGCAACATGTTAACAGTATGCCATGATTTAATGATAAAAAGGAAAGAGGATGTGGGAGCTAATCACCCTCCTATCACTACCATTATGAATTGCACTGATAGCCTTCTAACAGCTGTCTGTTTTTCTTTCCTAGTAACCCCTGCTCACAGTAGACTGGGATTCCACAAAGTAACAGTTTCCATAGCAAAATGGATTACAAATACTGCTAATACCACTTCTGTGGCTCCTTCTCCCCCGATTTTCTTTAGTTAAAATTGTAGTGGCCTTCCACATTTGCAGAAAATACACTGTCATGCACTTATAATCAATGTACTCTCGTTATGCTCTGGCTACCAGACAGAGAATATTTCACTTTGTTTCTTTAAGGTTACTGTTTACGAAGTAAAGCTAAGTGTGAATGGCTGAAGGAGCTACTGGCAGGGATAAGGACAGAAATCTCCACATGTTGACTCTGCTTTTAATTTCTAGGGAGAACACTCATTCTACTTGAACCCTTGTAATCTTTTAATGGTTAATATTTTACCTTGTGTATTTGCTCTTTTCTGTATTTTTCCCACTATGAAGCGTAACCTAGGAGTACTTTGAGAATGTACCACAAATAACTTCTGATCCTCCACTGAAATATTAAGATCATTTCACAGCAGTAGAAGTGAAGGGCTTGAACAAGCTTTTTCTGGACTTAATTAGTACAAGGAAGTGAGTGAGTGAGTGAAATTGATTGTGACATGAAAAACGTGATTACTCCATTGCAGAGTAAGTGCTATCTGGAATTTGATTCCAAGCAAATGGTTTTGATGAAATGGCACACAAGCAGATCTGTGTGAAAGTGTATGTATATGCAGATCATCTGATGTACAGAATAGATTTGGGTTTACTCTGCATTTATAGTGTAAGTAATTTAAAAGCGTAGTTTAAACAATTTTTGCTTCATGTTTACTATCTTCCTGTAAAAGACAGCTGTAGTACAGTCTACCCTAACCAAAGGAAATCAAGCTGAAGGATTAAAATGTTATCCCTTGATGATGGTTACAGGGACAGAAATGTTGATGAACATAAGGATTGTGTATGCAGTCAGTTAATCACTTCTGAATTTTTCTGTGCATGTAGTAGGCATTGAATATTCCATGAAATGCTGGGTTTGGAGGTTAAAGAACAGTTCTTATGCTTTACTGACTCTTGCTTCAGCTTTGTTGAAAATGCACAAATACCTGATATACCTGTGGCAAACCTGAAGTTATATGATTGTCTTGCAAACACAGTGTGGTGGTCTTAATCTTCTAAAAATTAAATACCATTGATAGTGGTATTCACTAGTTTAAACCCAAAGAACAGTGATGTCAGTGGATCTTTCAAACTGTAAGAGGCATCTCGAAGTACCCAAAGTACAAGTATACTCTGCATTCTTATAATTCAGTTACGATGTAATTTGAGTAGAACATTTTAATGTAATACAAAGTATAGCAGAAAAATCCTAATTCAGGTCAGGGACACTAATGCAAAGCACTTCTGATGGCTGTAAAACACTGAGACCCATCTGTCTGCACTCTGGTTACTTAACTCATTTTGCCTGCATTTTTCCATTGCTATTTACAATGCCATTCTAACTCCGTAGCCACACTTTAGTAACAATATCGCCGTGCACCCTCAAATCCACAAATTATCCTTTTGTGCCAGAAAGCAGTAGATTTGGCAGATATAATCACTTCAGAAATGAAAGTATGAGTTGGATTTCTTGCTATGTGCATGCCAAGAGCTGTAAATGTTTATGCTTACTATTTATTGATGTTGGAATGAAGAAAAGGCATTAACTGTACGAACAGATTCAATCTGGAGAAAAATTACATAAATTTATTTAAATCCACCTTTTTAGGACTATGCTGATGAAATCTAACTCTTGCAATATGGCCCTGCACTTTCTTAAAGATGATTCTAACAAGTGTAGAATAACTAAAACTGACAGGTTTGAGGTCCTTTTCTGATGGGGAATTTATCAGTTTATTATGAATAACCCGATGAATATTTCCAAGATCTCTGCAGAACTGTGTTCATACAATAGTTTCTTGTAGATCCTTTATGATATCCAGCACTGTGAAAGTACATGACAGAACACAGGTTCCACACTTTCTAACTGTAGTATGCAGGATTGCCTAGTGTCTCTAATTTTCCCAAAACAAATACTTCTCTAAAACACTTAATGCAGTGCAATTGTCTGTCTCAAATTTGAACTGTAATGTCACAAAGACATGTTGGGTTATCTTAATCCTTAGAGTGTGTGCTATGACATCTGCACCTGGGCGTTTCTTTTGTTCCTTTCTTTCTACAGGTATTTCCTTAAAAACTCCTTTCTATATCAGTAAACCTGAGTTAATCTATCTAGTGATGTTTTTCCAGTCATACCTATATTCACTGGATTATGTAATTGGATGTTAACATAACTAATGGATTTACGGAGATCAGGTGTTACCAGTGTCACTGTAAAAATCCTCTGCATTAATGAATTAAGAAATAGCATGAGCTGAGTTCAGCCCGATCACAAGTTATAGGAAAAGGATTAAGGATGCAAAAAACTCTTTAGAGCTTAGAACTGTATGTTGTGCTCAAATTCTTTTTTATGTATTTTTCCCATAAGTGCTGCTTGTTTCACTTGAAACAATTCTGACAGTATCAGAAAACTGGCCAAACTGAATTTTTCAAGTTGCACAAAGTAAAATTTTGTACCTGCAATCAGAAGAAAACCCTTCTATATAAAAGCAAACTTTTCCTTTACTTAACTGTTCAAAAGCCAAGTGCTAAAAATTTCATCCCTGAATTGATTTTTTTCCTTACAATTTAAATAGTATGTCTATATTTTTATGTATATAAACAAATGTATTTTAAAATCTGATTGTGAGCCAGCTTCACGTTCCTTTTTACAATCAGCTGGCCTCAGTTGCATAAAATTTTCTTTGTGAAACCAATATAGGTCCATGGCAGCAATTTAATATTACAGCAGTAGAGATAGGAAATGACATTTATTTTTCAAACATCTCTGTGGAAAATATCTTCAGTTTTTCATTCCTTTGAGGGAAAGATTTTTAAGGGAAATCGGTAGTATACATG